TATTGATTTTTTCATGTATTAATTTAGATTTTTAATTTATTTAGTGTTTTTAGTGGCTTAATTGGCCAGGAGCAAGCTTGCGAAGTAGTGCTTCATTAAATGAGTGTCTAGAAAGGTTTATAAACGAGTTACAACTACACTGAAAAAAAAGATTTCTTATATTTAGAACACCTATGATCTTGAAAATATTTTTTTTATTAAAGTCAACTTGCTTTAAAATAAGAACATATTTTTCAACTAAAAATATTTAACTTGAATAAAAAAGAATTTTGTAGTTTTGGAAATATTCTAATATTAAGAAACATGTTTCTTAAAACAAGAAATGCATTTCTTGTTTTAAAAAGTTGCATGTTTTAATCCAAATATTAAATATTCTTGAAGGAAATCTTAGTTGGTTTCTTAGTACAATTGTTAATATTTTTTTATATTTTTAATTGTTTAATTTTTTTATATTAAGATATAGATATTCTTAATTTTTTTTTTTCGTTTTAATAAACAGTATTTTCTTTTGCCAAGAATACATATTTTTGAAATCGTGTAGGAGTGGAGATGCCGACACGTTCCTCTGAAATTTTATGCCTAATCATGCAGTGTTTCTTTCTCTTTGTGAGGAAGGCTTAGGTATTTCATTAAAAAATCTTTGGAAGAGTGGTCAGCATCTAAGGAAATTATAAAAAAATTAGGTAAGTAAGTTGTTATTGATATACCACCCTTAAAATTATTTTATTCATAAATAAATAGGCTTTGCAGTGATAACAAAAATATCTTATGTGTCTCGGATTTGTATGGCTATCATTTTAAGTTAATAAACTTAATTTATTTCATGACATTTAAAAGGATTTGGTTTTAGAAGTAATTTTGTTACACACTTTGGGGTATAACATTAATTTTGATTCATATAGGGTGGAGTTCATTGGCAATAGCCCTAAATTATTTTATAATATTTGTAATTGCTTTTCTACTATGCCTTAAATATTACAAATTATTTAAAATGAAAAATATGTCGATAATAATTATTAAGTTCCCTACGTTAATTTATAATAATGTATACATTTTAGATTTTTCTTGTATTAAAAACAAAATAAATGTGTTTGTTTATCGTTTGTTTTTTTATTTTCTAACCTAAATTTTTTTGCTTACTGCACCACCTAGAAACGATACTACGTATACTTTGGCCCTTCAGTAAGTTTGGCTCAATTTTGAATAATCCGTAAGTATTAAAATATAAAGTTTTGTTTAAGATTGGACAAAAATCCTTAAAAAATTACAGGAAAATTAAATTACTCCAGTTCCCTTCAAGTGTTTAGACGTATTTTTATTTTAAATTTTATTTCTTTTGCAGTAATATTCCTAAATATAAAGATGTTTTTATTATTAAAATAAATAATTTTTAGTTAATCTTTGTAACAAAACATATTTTTGGTATTTATTATGCATACCAAATAAATGTAAAATGTTTAACACCACATCGCAGATATAACCACATTTCTATAAATATATTATGCAAAATCCTTTGAAAGTATCTCGAAATATTTTGCGTTATAAAATAAAGTTAAACAATAAAATTGAATGTGGGAAAGTTTTAAATGGGCCACAAAACTATCCAAACCATAAACCGAATGGAATGGCTGCGTAATCAAAACCATAATTCCAAAACTTTCGCGAAAATCAAATCGTAAAAGGAAACAACGTCGGTCACTTTTGCTTTGCGAATTTGAAAAGAAGATTTTCTATGTTGATAAAAAACTTTATAACATTTAAATCATGTTTTAATTTTTGAAATTTAAATTTATCCGTTTTTTGTGTGGTTTAAAAAAAAATTATTTTGTGATATGTAAAGTAGACAGTTATCGGACACTTTATAGTTATTGGACAATTGGACGGCTTTCTGCAGAATGGGACCAACCCACACCATGATGAAACTGAGAAAAAAGCTATCAAAGATTTTAATAATTTTAAAATTACCTGTTAATTTTATGCCGATTTTGGACAGAGGTTTAAGGGATATAATTTAATAATTTCATCAGGTGGATTTTGTGATGTTATGTGTAAGGGTGACGAAAAAAATGGGCTTTTGTTGGTTAGTTCCTTTCTGCAATTTATGAAAACTACTATCTGATGTATGTATGTATTTAAAGAAAAGCGACAATTATTTATTTCCAAACAAAATACAACTGACATTACTATTATAATGGTAATATGAATTAATTTTGATTCTATTTGAAATTCGTCCACATCATCTTCCAACCCCACCTCATCTTGTAAGCTACCAAAAAAATGCATCAAGACTTTATATTTTGCAGAAGCAGGAAATCTTTAAAGACTTTGGTAGTGGGTCTACCAGACTGCTTTTTTACAAAAAAGATCCAACCCACTTGCAGATATTCTACAGATTCTAATTCAGGATTAGTAATCCACACTATTATTGAATGTTGGTTGGTTCAATGATTAATAGATTTCACTACACTTGCATTTTGGCTATGACCTATTTTGCAGATAAATTATACATACTTAATTAGTTCATAGGCTAAATATCTCGATTTTTTTGGTTTTGTGGGTTGGTTACTTTCTGCAGAAAGGCGTCCAATTAACATTAATACTGTAAAAACAAGAGTTCTATAAATAGTTACCTTAAAGTCAAATCATTAGATGACGCTGTATACAATAACTATCTCAGTCGGTAATAATATAGAACTACTTTATTTTGGGTCCAATATAGGACAAAAAAGTTCGCACGTTACTTTGGTGGTAAGATTTTGTTTTTTTTGTTAAAAGCAGGACTGTGTTTAAATTACAATAATAATATTTCTAAAAAATGTACAGATCAGTGTGTGGTATAAATGTGTTCCTCATGATTTAAACATACTCTCCTACTTTAGAAATTGTTAAACCTGCTGAAGAATATGGCGTACCACATCAGGAATACGGATAACCATTTGCGGTTAAACCTGCCCCTGTAATAAAAACTAAATATTCTTACACTATTCCTGTTGAAGCAACAGCACCTGCTGCACCAGCTGTAGAATATGGTACGCCAAAGCAGGAATACGGATAACCTTTGGTTGAAGAGAGACCTTATGCTCCTGTAGTTGTTCCAACTCCAGTAGTACCCCATGAGACCACCAAAGCAACTTTTGTTTCCATTTCCAAGTGCTCAATTGAGGCCTGTCAGAGCAAAGACATACAATCTCCCGTCAGACTAAAACTGAGTAAATTGACATAATTGATTTTGGTATTTTAAATTCTAGATTTGTAATTTTTTTTATATATTATATTGAAATATTGTTGTTGTTAGTCTAGTAGCCAACTACAAGGTCTCCAGGATGCATAGTATAGGTGAAATCTATAATTATAAATTGGAGATTGCTGACTTTGATATGAATTGCTGGAGATTGCTCATTTTTTTGTAAACGTTTAAGGAGATTTAGAAAAATAAACAAAAAAATAATTGTATTTTTCTCCATTTAATGGTTATAAAATTTAACTATACAATCAATGTGGGAAAATTCTGAACTGGACAACATAAATTTGGAGTTTCTTCTAAATCTGGGACCATGTTGCCTCGTGCAAATTTTTTTTTATAGTACAACAACTCATCATCTCCTTCTCACTTTGTCCCGTAATGTTTTACTTGCAATGTTTTGACATTATCAGCCTTTTCTTGCTTTACCTTTTCGTCTTATTATGGTATAATAGCACAAAATAAACAAGATAACTTAAAACAATAAAACGTAGATTTACCTATTTTGAATATATTTTTTAAGTGCAATTTACTGCAATAGAACTTAACAGTATGTACCACACAAAATTAAATCTCTAAAATACGTTATAACATCAAATGTTAGGATATCAGGTGACACAAATTACTAATTTCTAATGGTGGAATTGGAGATTGTATACTTTGCTGCAAATTTATCAGTGGAGATTGTCGACTTTGCACTAAAAGTCATTTTTAAAATAGGATTTTTAGGACATTTTTACTTGTTGCTTAATACAATTGAGGCCTGTCATAGCAAAACCGACAATCTCCACTTTTGGTCAAAAATTAGATTTTTGGCGGAGTATTTCAATATTATAATATTTATAATTTACCTACTTCTAAAATGTTGGTTTATGATATCATTTATATTTAATAAATTGTATTTAAAGATTATATTATATTATTATTATTATTATAATTGCTTTTAACTAAAAACAACTTTTATTTACATATCGAGTTACTAGATCTACACAATTGAATATTCAAATGTTAAAACATTATAATACCATTATAGTAAATGCGTTTGATCGTTAAATTATCATTTAATAACTTTACGATAAAAATGGTTTACAAAAAATATATTTTCAATAAAGAAATTTTTGTATGGACGTAACATGCGGATACAAAAAAATATTTGCCATTAATTAACTGAAGCCAGATACTGAATTTTTCATGAAAATAGTACGTGCTTTGGTCAGTGTTGTTTTATGAACCATGAAAATGTTTACAAACATCATTATTACACGTTAATTAATTCAACACTTTCAATGATCTACACTGCAATGTGCAGTTTTCCAGTCCATGATTATAATATTTCACCGTAACTTCTGTTACCATATTTTTGTTTGTTTGAATAAACTTTTTTGCAAGCGTAGGTATAACACTCATAAGCCGTATTAGTACGCAGTTCAAAAGTCAAATTATTATACACCGCCGTACAATAATGAAAATAAATTAACTTTCTTTTCACAAATTGCAGAACTTGTAAAAATAGTGTAATGGTGATGAAATATGTTAGATTCATATGTAATATAAAGAAAAATTAATTACTTACTATTAATGTAAATAAAAAATATGTTTACTAAAAACATTTTTATTGAATATACAATACAATTTATTATAAAATTAAATTATAAATATTATAAAGGGTATCCCAGTAATGGTGTTCCAAAACTTGTACGACACAACACCCTTTGTATTAGGTATATACAAGTAAGGCAATTTATTCACTTATAGCCCATTAAAATTGACCACTTGGGAATGGGAACAAAAGTTGTTTTGGTGGTCCGTAAATCTCATGGGGTACCACTGGAGCTGGAACCACTGCAGCAGCATAAGGTTTCTCTTCGACCAAAGGTAATCCGTATTCCTGCTGTGGAACACCATATTCTACAGCGGGTGCAGCAGGTTTAGGTACTTCAACAGGAATGGTGTAAGAGTATTTAGTTTCTATGACTGGGGCAGGTTTAACCTCCAATGGTAGTCCGTATTCCTGATGCGGTACTCCATATTCCTCAGCAGGAGCTGGTACACTATATTCTTCAGCGGGTTTTACAATTTCTACAGCAGGAACGTATGGTACTCCGTAAGTTTCAGTGGGAACAATGGGTTTTGGTGCATCTGCAGGAATGGTGTAAGAGTATTTAGTTTCAATGACTGGGGCAGGTTTAACCTCCAATGGTAACCCGTATTCCTGATGCGGTACTCCATATTCCTCAGCAGGTTTGATGATTTCCACAGCAGGAGCTGGTACACTATATTCTTCAGCGGGTTTTACAATTTCTACAGCAGGAACGTATGGTACTCCGTAAGTTTCAGCAGGAACAATGGGTTTTTGTGCATCTGCAGGAATGGTGTAGGAGTATTTAGTTTCAATGACTGGGGCAGGTTTGACCTCCAATGGTAATCCATATTCTTGATGTGGTACACCGTATTTTTCAGCAGGTTTGATGATTTCTACAGTGGGAGCTGGCACACCATATTCTACAGCGGGTTTTACAATTTCTACAGCAGGAACGTATGGTACTCCGTAAGTTTCAGCAGGAACAATGGGTTTTTGTGCATCTGCAGGAATGGTGTAGGAGTATTTAGTTTCAATGACTGGAGCAGGTTTAACTTCCAATGGTAATCCGTACTCTTGATGTGGTACAGCAGGTTTGATGATTTCCACAGCGGGTGCTGGTGCATTATATTCTGCAGCAGGCACAACTGGTTTTGGCACTTCAGCAGGAATGGTGTAGGGGTACTCTGTTTCGATTACTGAAGCTGGTTTTACTTCCAATGGTAAACCGTATTCATGGTGTGGTACTCCGTATTCTTCAACAGGTTTGATTATTTCTACTGCTGGAGCTGGTACGAAATATTCTTGGGTGGGAGCAGCAGGAATCGCTGGTGCTTCGTATTGTTCAAAGGGCTTTGCTATAAATTCATGTGGTACTCCATATGTTTCGTGTGGTATTTGAGGTCTAGCCTGGGATAGGGCTATGGTCGCCAATACAAATATCTGAAATAATAAAAACAAAATAATATCATACAATTTTTGTTTGTTACTGTGTACTAACCCACTTCATGTTGAACGGTTATTGTGATACTGATTAGAAAGAAGACCCTTACACGTTATATACCTCTAATTTTGTCAGCCTTGGGCTAACAATCATTATTGGAAATAATAATTATTCATTCATGAAGAATTTTTATGAAATTATAATTATATCTATTTGTGGGGAGAAATATTAGTAACTCGTCTGATAAGGATATTAACTTAAGTATTAATAACGAACTAAAAAATGTGAAATAATTTTAACCAACTAATAATATTTTTGTTTCAGACCCCTTGACTTATGATGTTCTTAATTTATTTGGTGAGTAAAACTTTTCGGCGTTAGCAAATATTAAGTCAGGCTCATTCAAAAAACCTTTTTAATTTACATAAAGTACACCCTGCCGTATAATAAATGAGTGTTTCTATATTTTCTTTATAAAAAAACGCAGAGTTTCTTACTGACTTGAAAACTTTTCGAAATTGTTCAAGTGGTAATAATAACTGTTTCCCCGATATATTTAGTTATTTAAGTGCTTATTTACTGCTTAAAACTGTTTTCTCTATTGTATGAAAACACAAAAGTTTGGGTTTTATAACTTGAAAACTATATTTTTGTAAAACATTATTAAAACAAGTTTCTTAGGAGGATCGACTAAGAAATGATGGTAAATTATAACTTATTTCAAGAGTTTAAATTGAATAATAATAATATTAATAATAATAATAATATATAAATAATCCAAACATTTAACTAGTTAGTAAGTTTAACCTTTTAAAAGGGTTAAGACTAGTAGATTTTTTAGACATATTTGGGTTTAGTTTAACTTTTTATATAACTTTGTGGTAATTATTAACTTTAATATGTTGAATTAACCTAATTTAAACCAAAACCAAAGACTTATAAATAAAGTAGTTAATTTAAACACAACACAATACAATAACCAAATGGTTTAAATAAAATAAGCTAATTTAAACAAACCAATAATAAAATATAATAATATTTTATGTTTAAAAGTATTTTAAATCAATTTAAAACAAAATAGAAAAAATAGGGAAAATACTTTTTAAAATTTTTATGTTCTTTATTTCTTATTTTTTTCAAGCGCATTTAAAATGTTACTACTGCACTACTTCATCAGAAAAAAAGTTGCCCCATTATTTTTTTTCTTAGAACTATTAATATATCAATTGATATTTACAGTGTGTTCCTGGATTTTTAAAACGACTCTTGTATACATGTAAAATCTACAAAAATTTGAATTAAATTTTTATTTTTGGGGGTTCAGCCCTGCTTGATAAAATATTAATTTTTAACATAATTTAAATTTTGAAAAATCAAGTATGCCTTGAAAAAATTAAAAAAACTATTTTTTGTGTGGATAAAGTGTTTTTCATATGGGATATACAACAAAATATAACAAAAAATGTTAAGAATTATAATATAGACCCCTACTGTAGGGTCAAGACATTTGAAATTTGGTGTAACACCAAATTTCAAATGTCTTGACCAACTTTGATTTTTATTTTTTTTACCATTCTTTGTGTGTGTAAAGTGTCTTTTATATGGGATATAGGACAAAATATTGAAAAAAGGTGTTTAGATTTAAAATTTAGACCCCTATACTAAATTTACAATTTCTTGACCACTAGGTAATAAAAAATATAAATCAAATTTGGCCAATAAATTTAAAATTTGGTATAGGGGCCTAAATGTCAATTCTAAACAACTTTTTTTAATAATATTTTGTCGTATATCCTATATGAAAGGCCCTTTATCTACACAAAAAATAGTAGTTTTTATATTTACATGGCATACTTAATTTTTAAAAATTAAAATTATATTAAAAATTAATCTTTTATTAAGCATGTATAAACAGTACATACATAATATATTATAATATATTATACTCGTATCAGTGAGTCATATCTAAAGATGTACATAATTATATTTGGTAGATTATAATAATATACTCTCTAAAAATGAATTAATCAAAAATGACTAATTTAATAGTTATTAGTGGCTGCTTTTTCACTTGTACCATGGTTAACCATGGAATACCATGGTATCCCAAAATTTATCAGCCGATTCTTTTGTAAAATTGTCCCCTAAATCCGAAAATACCGTCAAAAATTATGAAAGTGAAGCAGTTTTTGAGATATAGTCAATTCCATATTAAATGGAAAATTGACTATATCACAAAAAGTGTTCTACTTTTTTTAACTTTTGACGACATTTTCGGATTCAGGGGACAATTTTACATAATAATTGGCTACCATGGGGTACCATGGTATTCCATGGTTAACCATGGTACAAGTGAAAAAGCAGCCAGTAAAAACTATTAAATTAGTCATTTTTGACTAGGTAATTCAATTTTAGAAAGTAGAGTTATAATACACTTAAAACGTTTAATTATAGTTTAAGTTGAGTTAAGAGTTAAAAAGTAGTTAAAAAAGTGTAAAATTAACCAAATATTACCCTATTTTTAACCTACCATTTACCAAGAAGTTGAATTTAACTAACATAACTTTAATTTTATCATAATTTATTTATATCAAAATAACGTTAATTTAAGGGTAATTTAACGTTGTAGTGCAATTTTACCTACTTAATTAAATTAATCAGGCAAAACGTAAATTTAACGTTAATTTAAACATTGTCTTGAGAAACTATTTATTACTTTTGTATTTTTGTATTGATATAATAAAATAATTTTATCGTATTATTTTACAAGAAAAGTATTTTATTTTAACGATTGTATGACATTTGACAACTGTCAACTTCAAACTAACTTTATCCCGTGACCAAAACTCCATAAAGCGACAACTTGTCAATGTGTATTTAAAAGGTCACTTAGCGTCATGGAAACATGTACGTATAATGTATAAAGGGTGTTTTAAAGGTGGGAGTGGACAAAATAATATTTATTATTTAAAGCCAAAACTGCATCTCATATCCGAACAAAATTTACCTAGTAAATCTTTTCGTGAAATCTTATTTCAGCTAAACCTTTTCGGAGACGAGAATACAACTCCGCTATCTTACTTATACACAACCGAGTATAATGGGTAGTATATACTTTAAAAGCTACCGCACAGTGCAACTAAGGAAAAATTAAGTTGTCAGTGGGGAGAAAGAGACAGATCTATAAAAATTATATTAATATTATTAATTTATGTCAAATATACTAAAAAGTATGCTGTTCCAGCGCCCTCTATAAGTAAGCAAAACATTTTTTATTGGTTTTTCCCATCTTAAAAAGTTACAATTCAATTAGAATGTCATTATGGTTGACAGGTGCCCTGGATTACGTATGAGTCTTAAAAATGAGTATTCTTCTTTATTCTTTAGTTATACAGCGTCGATTCCTTAGCATTGCAACGATTTTTCAGTTATGGAAAAGGTAAAAAGTCACAGGGGTCAAATCTGGAGAATACGGAGGATGCAGCAGCAATTCGCAGTCAAATTTCTTGATTTTATAAATTTTAATGGCGGCATTATTAGCTAAGGAACTACACTGTTCAAAATTTCATGACCATTTTAACACCAAATTAACACCATACATGGTCTATATCGATACAAACCAAAATGGTGTAAAATATGGTTCGTTGGTCCAGTGTAAATTCAAATACTAACATGGTGTAAAATTAACTTTCACACAGTATTAAAATAAATTTTACCTGGTGTAAATTAAACTCCTTTTCAGTGTTAAATATAATGTGTTTTTGGTCAAATTAAATCATACTACACAGAAAAAAAAGGAAAAAAAGGAAACAGGAAGTTCCTTGACGCATTACAAGTATATAACCAGTGGTATAATTCCAGAAAATTAAACCTTCAACTCGCTAGAGATAATGTTTTTAGTGCGTTCCACCAACTAAAAATACTTCGAGTATTGACAGCTGTTTCCACCTATTTAAGGTCTCTTTAGTATCGAACAACTTGTAGTGTCACACCAAAGCAAAGGACTACCTGAGCTTGTATACTCTTCATGTAAGTCAACAGAGGCGAGATTTAAGAACATCACGTTATCCACAACGCCTTTGCCGCGATCGGTACACACTATGCAACAAGGAATGCACGGCAAATTGTTTTAATCGTTTTAACAGAGTGCTTTAGGTTGAAGTAACTCTTATTTTACAAACAACATATTTAGGAAACTGAACCATACAGCGGGTTGGTTTCACTAAAGTTTCTGGGTTAACTTAACCAATTTAGTACCTTCAAACTAATCTTTGTTTATATTAACCTTCCCACATTTGATTTAAATAAATACTTATGGGTCAACTAAATTAATATAGTTAAATGAACTATTCCTTTTTTTCTGTGTACTACACAGTGTGTAGGTGCACTTCTCAAATATTTTTAGATAAACACCGTTTTGGTGTTTGCTGTATAAAACATTTTCAACCATAATTCATGGTGTTATATTAACACCACTTGATGTTGGATTTTGATACCATTTTAAGATTACTCTTCACACCACAGATATTTTAAACAGTGTAATAGCAACAGTGCCGGTTTAAGTTAGTTCGCCGCCCGGTTCTGGCAAAAACACAACGCCCAATGCTTTAAAATATTACTTTTTTAAAAACATTTTTAAATTTTTAAGTCTTACTTTCTCACGTCAAGTGGAAGATTAGGTTGGTTAGGCTGGTATCTAACAGTAAACTTAGTATCCTATAAAATATAAAATGAGCCTTTATAAACAAATTATAAAAACTAAAAAATAAAACATTCTTTGGTTTATATAAACAATACTAAGTACTAAGAAAAACTAATCAAAAGTTATAAATAAATAAAACATTATTCTTTGGTTTAAATAAATATTGAGAAATCCTAATACTAATAATTAAAAGGTTGTTTTCATGTCTTTATAGTAGCAAATTGTTTTATAACACTTTACATTTATTTCATCTAGCAGGTCTTGATAAATGGACAAAATTGCTAAGGAGTTCAATCTTTCTTGGGGAATTGTATTTCTTAGGTAGTTCTTTACCCTTTTTAGAGCAGAAAAAGATCGTTCACCA